TTTTCGTTTATTACTCTAATACCCAAGCCCTCTTATTCCTGTCCCTTCCTCCATTAATATTGAGAGAACCTACCCTTAGTATCTCCATATAGAAATGAAAAAGGAAAAGCAGAAGATACCACAGAGAAACCAGACAAAGAGAATAAAACACCCTATGAGGCATAATCATCATCATTATTTAAATGTTCTCTTAACCTGACCACGTTTCCCACCACCTTTTGCTGCTGCAACAGCAGTAACACATTTCCTCAAGCGAAAACACTTCTTCTCACTCAACTGGTCTAACCCCACCGTCTTCTGTAACATCACAGCTGACCTCACAAATGTATCAACATCAAAATAATCTGCCAATTTGACAGATTTCCCAAAAGTCTGATCCAGAAACCCATTTACCTCCTCTAGATCGTAAATTGAGTCCTCACCAGCTGATATCGTATCAAGAGAGATATCCATATCCTTCTCCTGATCCTCCTCAACTGAGGCCACAGACCACTGACTCCCCTCTACCACATCCCTTTCAACACTCCCCACTTGCACCCCATCACTCGTACCAGGCATCTCCTCCACTACCTGGGAGACTAGCCCCACCTGAACCCCATTACTCGTAGTGGGCATCTCCTCCACTACCTGGGAGACTAACCCCACCTGAACCCCATTACTCGTAGTGGGCATCTCCTCCACTATCTGGGAGCCTAGCTCCACATGAACCCCCTCCTGTACCCCAGCACTCATAGTGGGCATCTCCTCCACTACCTGGGAGATTAGCTCCACATGAACCCCCTCCTGTACCACAGCACTCGTACTGGGCACCTTATGGCCAACATCCCCACACTCAAAACACTGTTGACTACCCGTACTAGCATAAGCCATATACAGTCTATTGTCATACTTGACTTTCAACGATAACTCCAAAGTCTTCTCCGGTGAGTCCAAAAACATAAACACCTGTCGCCGAAACGACATAACCTGTTTCAACGCCGGGTGTTTGCAACCCAACGGGACAACCTTAATTGAACTTGCAAACTTCCCAAAGCGCAATAACTCACGCTCCAATAGCTCATTTGGAATAAACGGCGGTACATTTGAAATCGTTACCCTTGTTGACGGAGAAAAAAGCGGCGTAACTTGAATAAACATTCCTTTAAGAAGTACGCCATGCTCAACCATACGATCAACAAGGCGCTCTTCTTTAAGAAATACCACCACCGCTTTATTCATCCGTGACGCATAAGCAACATTCTCATATCCTACCTTCTCTCCTACGGCGACCAGAACCTCCTCCACCGTGACAGTAGCTTCAGTAACACACCTAAAGCCGTGCCGAAGTGACAGGGACGGCGTCCCCATTCGGGCTGCCATCCCCACCAAAATCAGGGTCATTTCGACACGAAAAACAATATACTTAATTCTACCACAACAAGAAAATAGAAATAATAACCTTAATCATGCATAGAAGAAAAAAGGATATCACCAAGAAAAGGAAAACCGAAAGAAAACCCAGGATATCTAACTCTACACATCACTCGCACTTAGCACTCACTCAAACAATTCCCAGCATGCAATGCACCAAACACTCCCAGCATGGAGAGAGAGAGAGAGAGAGAGAGAGAGAGAGAGAGAGAGAGAGAGAGAGAGAGAGAGAGAGAGAGAGAGAGAGAGAGAGAGAGAAAGAAAGAGAGAAAGAGAGAGAGGCATGATAAGGAAGAGGAGGAGGAGAATGGAGAACACCCCCTTAACAAAGACGGACTCCCACCTCCACGCTGCTCCCTGCTGGAGTCCTCCCAGAGACGCGTGGTGCGTCTCAGGCACTGCAACAGCACGCATCGGGAACACACACCAGAGGAGTGACCGGACCGCCATCTTTTCCCAGACCAAACCCTCCTCGCCCCTTACACCCCAAAACCTCACTCTTCACCCCTACCCCACCCTAACCCTCCCTGCTAGCAGCACTCTTCACCCCTACCCCACCCTAACCCTCCCTGCTAGCAGCACTCAAAACCACTTAGCGGTACCACCCAAACAGCTTGGTACAACCCAAACTGTCACCACTGAACCAGCCGATGTGTTTCCACTAAGAGCAGGCCTTTCCAGACACAGATGGGTTGGTTCAGTTCACATGCTGAAACAACAAGTGTAATCGAATGCTTATTAATGACTGTAGCATAGCGTGGCATAGGTCACGGTGTCTTCCTAAAAATGACTGTCCAAACTGAATTCATTAATGTGCGTACCAAACAGTACAGTACAGTACATTAGAGTGCAGAACAGTAGCCCCCCACAATCAACAATTCCTCTCTTTAAAGGTTTGAATTCTAAAGCTTTCTAAAGATATACTGAGGAATGCAATTAAAGACAATGACATATCTCCCATATTACAGACCACTTCTGTATGTCTTCCATCACTACAATTTTCGGGATTTAAAGATTTGACTGAATATTTGCTGGAATTAGGGCCCACTGGGCAGTAGCAGAGTGGTCACCACTGTGTTCAGATGTGTTCAGGCACCTGGGCTAGTATAGACTACCGTATGTAATGAACTTACCTTTCTCTTTCTTTATAGATGTGGTAAAGAGATCAATCCAACTCCACCAAAATGCCATGGCAACGCCATTCAGAATCTCCTCATTGCCCTCCATAAAAATTTACCTACCTTTAGGATATTGTTTATATGTGTATTTGGAGTAAAAATCTGATTTAAATGCTTGTATGGATGTCAACCCCAACACATGTTCATGTCATCGTCACCAATCAACTGATTTACACTTAAAAACGGCTTCAAGTACCACCACCGATTTCTATATGCTAGCTATGCTACCAGCTTATACGAACAGAAGTTAGCATTTAGCAGACGTTTTATATAATCACGAAAATGACTATTTCTAAATATTATGCAGCGAAAACAGTAGCAACCACATTGTGGGCCTGTTAGAACACAAAGATCTTGACAGATTTGCCGAATATCCACTTTGTAAAATCTGATTTTTGGAATGTGCGCCAATGACGTCGTCCTTGTTCTTTCCCCATGGTCTGCGTTCCATTGATCTCTTTATGGCATATATTGCTTGCTTTCTCTTGCTTGAAAGCTTGTTTTTTTCCCTGGCCTGTTTTGTATTGTGTTTCCGTAACTAACTGTTTTTTGTAGGCGTTATGTAGTGACACAGAGGAATCAAACATGTATAAATCAAAGCACATCAAAGCACATTATCAAAGCACAATCTTGCACATTGTCATCTACAACTCTTATGTATATTTATCATGTATCAACAGAGTGGATCAACAGAAGATCAGAGTAGCTTTTCCACTAATCCACCATTCAGTTTTGGCATTAAATCCACCAATCAGATCGCAGACTGGGACCCAGATAGGAGGAGTCAGACTCCACACTTTTGCTTGTCTGCCTGAAATGTCTATTTTTTTATTTATTTTTTATGACCAAAAAGATCATCAGTACTTGAGGAGATACATTTACCATTTGTAGGGAAGTTCTAAACATTTAGGCAACAAACAAATACTCTCCCTAAAACCAATTCCAGACTGTCCAGAATGTATTCTGGCATGCCTTATCACTGTACAGCCTACAGGACAGGACTTTACTGTACCTGTCCTCCCACTGTTTGACCTGGCAGGATCCAACATGCTCTGTTTCCTCAGACACTCCATCACACTCAATGTAGGCTATATGAGCAGTTGATTAGCACTTCTGATAACAAGTTCAGTTAAAGTTCTGGTAACAAGTTCAGTAAACGTTCTGATCATAGGTTCAGTTAAAGTTCTGATAATCAGTTCAGTTAAAGTTCTGATAATCAGTTCAGTTAAAGTTCTGATAATCAGTTCAGTTAAATTTCTGATAACAAGTTTAGTTAAAGTTCTGATAACAAGTTCAGTTAAAGTTCTGATAACAAGTTCAGTTAAAGTTCTGATAACAAGTTCAGTTAAAGTTCTGATAATGACTTCAGTTAAAGTTCTGGTAACAAGTTCAGTTAAAGTTCCAGTGCTCCAATGATGAGCAGCCTATAAATTATGCTTCCAATATAATTCAGTTCTTATGAATTATGATGTAAACATCCATTCCACTGTAATCACAAGGACTGTGACAAAGCAGAGAGGAAGAGGAAGAGAGAGGCCCAACTCGGCAGAAAATATGTCTCCCTCCAGCAGGTGGTGTTTTTATGTTGTTTCACCAACCAAGCGAGGAGTTTTTGTATGGAGGTCAATGAGAGAGTGTTGAATTTGGTCAACAAAAACATTTATGGCTTATTTGCTAGGTGAGGTATATTTGATCAAATAGAAGTTTCATAATGCTTAAGTTGTTACTAGTGTACTGATATATGTAGGAAAAAACACATTATATCGGAGTTGTCTCAAAATGGCTGTGCATATTCATGGCATGAGGCTAGTAGCATAGCATCTATCTCTATTGAATACAGGCGGTGATGTCAACAACCCTCATCGAATATTCAAAAAAAGATTACAATAAGGAGATGTATCCACCAATCCAAAGAAAGGATGGGCGGGAGCTAGACGGCCCGCGGTGGACAACGACTCCCATTGTTAGGGAGGCGAGACGTGTATCTTGTCAGTATATCCATAATCTTTGACCAAAGTGTGTCCATAACACTTCCTGTCATTCATGTGTGTGGAGCGAGGGACCTCTAGTGGTGGGCTTGTGTCATGACATCTGAAGTGACATTGTACTGAATGTCACCCAATGTAATACCATAACAGTATGTCAACTCATAATGAATCTGAATAGAAGAGGTCATCTATTCACTATGGTTAGCTCTCTGCTTGAGGAAAAAGGAGAATGATGATGTGTTGACAG